TGTGGCGAGGGTAAAGAGGAAGGAGGGAAACGCGCAATTCGACGAACCCACTCAATCTATACGTCGAAATCTACAAACATTACGCAACAATTTTTACAACGATTGAGGAACACGGACAAATAGGTGTGACCCAAAGCATACCGTAACCCACAAGCAGATCCAATTCACTCACACATTATTGTTTGACAACTAGTCCTAGTTTGGATCGAAACGTCACAATAAATGCTATTACTCAGCGCCCCCTCCCATGTGACTGATATATCTATATATATATTTCCAAGTCGACTTCTTCTTTTTCAACTACCGTTGGCTTTTTCATGAGCCACATTATTCCTACACCTGATAAGCACACCAAAGCCACTGAAAATGTAAGCAACACCTGTAAATCGGTATTCGAAACACAGCTCTATCTCATAAGAGCTCAGTAATTCGCTGAACTGCTCAACGGACACTAGATTCTAACGAAAAAGGTACTCATTCATCTACCAAAATAACGATGAATGCGAGCAAACAATGAAACCACGAACGACAGACCACCCCCCTAGCTGGCGTGGTGGTGGCGCAGTGGTTTAGTCGCTAACACCGACGAGCTTTGGACCCTATGGTCTGAGGTTCGATCCCCGCCACCGCTACCCGACTTTGCTGTCGTCCGGTTCAATACCACGCCTAACCTATCGGGACCTTATGTGGTTCACCACTCCAATTCCCGGGGCTTAGGTTACCGGTTTCCGTCACTGAACAGCCGGTCCTAGTGACTGGTTGTACAAACTGAAACTGAAGTGGGGTTTGCTCCGTCTGATGTTCATCACACGGTGTGTAAAAAAATATTCGAACACTATATGTGAGTCGCATAAACACCAGCTCAACTGGTTAGTCAGCGAAGCACGCACATGGAATGTTTTGTTCTTCGATCTCTGTCTAATATGCGCCTATTCCGCTCTCAGCGTTTTTTACATCAAACTTATTTGCTGTATTCTTTACTTATAGTTAGTTATCCATGGCTTCCCGGACAGCAGAAGCTCAAGAGTGGATCGTGAAGGCGGAAAAATGGTAAGTTCGCACGTGCTGAATATATACCTATATTTTCCCAGTCTGAAGACATCTTTATTCAAAAGAACTCCAGACTATGACAGTGCAATAGAGTACTATACAAAAGCTGCTGTTATTTATCGAAACTCTAAGTGCTTACCTCAAGCAGCTGACCTTTACATAAAGGTTCATATGGATTTCGGAAGTTTAAACTTACTGACAGGTTGCCGATCTGCAAATGAAAGTGGGGTCTGCTTTCCATTGCGCAAAGAATTATGAAACGGCTGCTTTCATTTATAAGGATTTGAAAGAATTTAACAAAATGGCCGAATTGGTGTCTACCGGTGGAGAATTGCTCAGAAAAACGGGAGCCCCTGATTCGGCTTCCTACCTATACGAGCGAGCAGCCAAGTAAGTAACTATATCGTCGTAATTAAATTCTCCATTAGAGCGATAGAACAAGCGATTCCAGAACGGGCCGCTGAGTTCTACGAACGGTCCGCAGATTCTTGTGAAGTAAGTTCAGTGGAGAAGAGGTGGTACATTTGATTCAACTTTGTTTTTACCGATCAGGTAGAAGATAAATATCACGAGGCTGCGGATCAGTGTAATAATTCCGCTCGAATTTGGGTTCGACTGCGTCGATTCGCCGATGCAGAACGCCTTTTGCGGCGTTTTATTGAGTTCTCCATAAAGGCCAATCCCTGTTCTGCTGCGGCTACTCTGTCTGGTGTCGCGGACAGTAGTGCCGTCCCAAAACTCTGTTCTCGGGCTGTGGTGGTTATGATACTGATCAAGCTGCATCAGGAAGACGAGGTGGCAGCCAATAAGATTTTTGATGAGGCTATGCAGTAAGTACAATATCAAATTTTAACACATTTTAATGCAAAATCATTCTTTTCGATTCTTCTCGGCTGACTAATAGGCTACGCCTATGAAGACTCTTAAGTTAAGCCGGCTCCAGACATGATCATGATCAAGACCATGGAGTTCCTTGGGAGTTTGGTGGTGAGGAGTAGTTGGGAAAGACGTAAAAACAACAAATTATTAATCGACAGTTTAGAATAAAGTATCGGAAAATTAAAAAAAACGGAAGACAGGGGAAGAGGGATCAAACAAGATGGGCGAGGTCAAAGGGTCACGAGAAGGATCATNGTCTGGGTCAGGGTAACTGTAGGACTTTACTAAATTGTTTTTGTGAACATAGAGTTGGACCCAGTAACTTTATTTCTATCGCCTCTGATGTCAGAGGGTTCTGGGAGTACCTTGCAGATGATTTTGAACGCATGTTCATTAATCTGATGTCCGGTATCTACGAGATGCGCCGTGATTGCACTCGAAATAGCCCTTGTGGTTCCCGTGTTTAACCAGAAAAATGCCCGATCGTCCTGCCTATAGAGCTTGCCAAACATAAGCAAACAAGGGAATAGGCCAGCATGGAGGAAGCGAGGATCGGTAATTTATCTTTGAGATTCAATGACTACGAGAATCAGCTGGTGAATTGTGTACGTGAACGGGCCACAGGAAACGTTCGAACCGTTGACTTATCTGGGTGTCCCGTTAATAAATTGCATTTGTAGTCACCTTTGAACGGGAGACGTATATAGATTTGTTTGGCTTACTGTAATCGCCGTTAGTCTTCTGGCTCTTTCACCCAGATTCTTTTGAATGGATCTCTTGGAATTGGTATTGTCCAAGTATATGCCTTAGTCGGCTCAATTCTGATTCCAGGTTTTCTGCTGCACATATATTTCCAATACGACGAGCTAGGGATTGGACGAGGTTTCGCTTACAGCTCAAAGGTACAAAACTGGTGAAACGAGTGTACCGACCTGTTCATGTGGATTTTCTGTAGACTGCTCTACTAATTGTTCCGTCCGAGCGCTTGGTAAGGTGAATATCTAGAAAATGGAGTGTGTTGACCGTTTCCATTTCTGACGTAAAATTGAGCACGTCGTGAGCTCGGTTAAACGTGTTGTTCAATGTTTGCAACAGTGTATAGAATAGCAAGCCTTCTATGGTATCTCGAAGTTCCTGGTTTCCTAATTTTGCGACAAATATGTCAATCAAAAGTGGGCCCAGAGGTGATCCCATTGCAACTCCGTCAGTTTGCCTGTACAATTCCCCGCTGAAGCTAAACTGAACATTGAAGGTACAGCGTAGTAACAATTCCTTCAAGTTAGCCAATGGAATACTGATGTTTATCTCGTTGTCCATGATGAAGTCACACAAATATTTTATTGTTTCCCTCAAAGGAACGTAAATAAACAACGATGCTACATCTAATAATGCCATAGATAAACGTGCCTTGGGCCTGGGCAACCTGGCAGTATTCCGCTCACATGCAAATCATGGATTTTTTTCTTTTTCATAAAGATTATTGTACCATGTGCCATTCGTTTGGCACACAGTCCGGATTCAGACGTGTGTGAAAATGTATTATATATATATATATACATATATATATATATATACATAGATAAACCATTCGTGCGTCGTTTGCATATATGTTCTACAAATTGGAATGTCCCTCAGATTGTGGTGACAAATCTGCCAGCGAACAGGTTCCAAACCATCCACAAGCCATTGG